TTACGTGATAAAGTGGAAAAATACATTTAAAATACACGATTTGATTGAAATATCCTTGTCTCTAATCCCCCTTCAAACCAAACTTTTTAAAAAATCCAGAAAATATTGTACCAAAAAGGTTGATCTATCATTCCTTTATTCGAAAAGAAGTTTTTATATTCCATCATTCACTTTTTTAAATGAAACATTGCAATAGGACTGTGTATGTAAAGTAATCCAACATTTTTTTATTCATTATTATTCGCTGACCTGTCGTCCCCAGAGAGAAAGTGAAGCGAATGAATGCATGATTTTTTTCTTTTTTTTCATGGACCTGTTAGAGGAAGTTTAATCTCAGAAAGTGTGTTGTAAAAAATGAGGATTTAATCGTGTTTCATAACTCATCACGTGCAAATTTTAGAATTTATGTATAAGCAACATTCTAATAATGTATATTTTTTGTTTGCAATATATGCATGATATATATATATATATATATATATATATATATATATATATATATATATATATATATATATATATATATATATATATATATATATATATATATATATATATGTATGTATATGTATATAGAAATATATACTGCTTTCATTTACCTAATGTAAATACAATTGTATCTAAACAAGATGTATCCCTTTTGTTAATATTTCTAACCTATTATAAAAGACCATAACCGACCTACAATGATCTTACAGCATTACTTTAAAGCTCTCCAGAGACCAGGTGACCTTGCGTTAGTTGCTTCGACCAGACCTGGGTTCAAAACTCGAATGGAAATACCAAACTTGATTTTTGATCCGGGTCTAAACTACCCTCAAAGCGCTATCTATATTCCAAGCTCCATAAACACTGTTTCTAATACATTGATATAGAAAATATACCTACTGTGATTTTGGGAATTAGCGTTTTGAGATATATTGGCAGATAGCATAGAATACGAGGCGTTTATAAACGTGAATAAAATACATATTGGAGAACAATGTAATTGAACAAAACGTAAACATAATACATGCAGACGTAAGATATGCAAACAGCAACAAGAAAAAGAATAAGCATAAGAAGAAATAAATAAAGATGATATATACATATAGACATTATTACACAGACAGAAGAGGGAGAAGTTGAAGAAGAAAAGATGAGAGATGATACAAATATAGATAGATATAGAAAGATATACATAATTACATAGATACTACGTAGTTGGGGGAAGGATCGGAGAGAGATGAATAGACGAAAAGAAAGACAGCACTATGTGTATATATTTGCCTTTGTTTAAGGGTGTATAATGTATTTTATCATATGGATGGAAGTGTGTATGTGTTTATATATATATATATATCCTCTCAGATCTTATTCATATGCGTCCCTATCTACACGTCTTTGTGCATATGTACGCATCTACACTCTCTGTGTGCGTGTGTACATATCCCCACTCAAGTGTGCATGAGCATGTTTATATGTATATGCATGTCCACTCAGATCTTATTCATATGCGTCCCCATGTACACGTCTTTATGCATATGTACGCATCTGCACGTGTCTGTATCTCTCTGTGTGCGTGTGTGTACATATCTCCACGTGGCTGTATGCATGTGAGTGGATCCCACCGCTGCCACCCTCCACCCTAACAAACCAGGCGCCACAATGCAGGCAACTGGCGGTGGCTCAGCGGGTGAAGGGTGGCTCGCAAGGACACGTCTGCAATACATCAATATTACGATATGTTTCTCAGTAGTTCAGACCTGCCAATTCCGTCTGAGAGCGCTGTGGCCTTACACAATGAGGCGGGTGCGGGTTTGTGACTGTGTGTGTGTTTGCTTGTTTGTGCTTGTGTGTGTATTTGCTTGTTTGTGTGTATGTGTGTTTGTACATGTGTGTATTTGCGTTTGTATGTGGTTACAGAAATACAAAATTTATGTAATATATATAATATATATATATATATATATATATATATATATATATATATATATATATAAGAATTTGTATGCATATTACGTCTATTTCATGAATATTTTACTATCATCACATTTCTTTTAAACCTAAAGAGGACCACGGTTAAATGTATAATCCAACTTTAGTTTAACGCCAGTGTTGGGTACAAGTATCTCTGGATTTCTCACGGCCCGGGATAATCATAGAGAAACGTTCTTTTTCCTTTTTATTTCGGTCAAGACTTTTCGTTCGTTTCGGCCTCGATCGGTCTCGGCATAGGACTGACTTGATCTAAAGTTGTCTTGAAATAGACGAGTTTGAGCAAGTTAGGGAACGGCCATGTCCCCTGGCTTGGTATAGGCAAGAATTACCCATGGCTTATCTACACTTAAAGAGAAGTTAATGTTGATTTGGGATAGTACTAGATTCGTTTAAGATTGTCCTCCATTGTTCTAGTTTGTTTCTGTGTTCTTATTGTTGTTGTTAGATTTTTTTGTGTGTGTGGGTGTAAGAACTGTTTTTTTTTCTGTGTATCTGTGTGGGTGTAAGAACTAGGTTTTTTCCCTGTGTATCCGTGTGGGTGTAAGATCTGTTTTTTTTCAGTGTATCTCTTTGGGTGTTAGAACTGTTTTTTTCTGTGTATCTGTGTGGGTGTAAGAACTATTTTTTTTTCCTGTATATCTGTGTGGGTGTCAGAACCGGTCTTTTTTCTGTGTATCTGTGTGGATGTAAGAACTGTTGTTTTTTTCTGTGTATTTGTGTGTGTGTAAGAACTGCGCTTTTTTCCTGTGTATCTGTGTGGATGTTAGAACTTTTTTTCTGTGTATCTGTGTAGGTGTTAGAACAGGGCTTTTATCTGTGTATCTGTGTGAGTGTTAAAACCGGGTATTTTTCTATCTGTTTAGGTGTAAGACTTTTTTTTTCTGTGTATCTGTGTTGGTGTCAGAACTTTTTTCTGTGTATCTGTGTGGATGTAAGAACTGTTGTTTTTTTCTGTGTATTTGTGTGAGTGTAAGAACTGTTTTTTTCTGTGTATTTGTGTGGGTGTAAGAACTGTTTTTTTCTGTGTATTTGTGTGGGTGTTAGAACTTTTTTTTTCCTGTGTATCTGTGTGAGTCTTAGAACTGGACTTACTTCTGTGTATTTATGTGGGTGTAAGAACTGTTCTCTTTCTGTGTATCTGTGTGGGTGTAAGAACTGTTTTTTTCTGTGTATCTATGTGGGGCGTTAGACCTTTTTTTCTGTGTATGTGTGGGTATTAGAACTTTTTTTCTGTGTATCTGTGTGGGTGTAAGAACTGTTTTTTTCTGTATGTGTGTGGGTATTAGAACTTTTTTCCTGTGTATCTGTGTGGGTGTGCTGGAGTCCAAGCAACTGTAAACTGGGCACGCGAGAAACTGTTTTTTCCTGAATAGCTTCAGTGAATGTCGTATTGAGCCCGTGGGTAATCGTGGATGACAGACAGTCTAGACCTTATAGATTTTTGATGAAGCCGAAAATAAATGTCGGGAGAAAATGGATTACATCGACAATACAATTAGTTCTGCTCTCGCTCCCTCTCTTTCCCTCTTTCTGTCTTTCTGTCTTTACCTTTTTCTGTCTCTGTCTCTTGACTGTCTCCAACTCTTTCTTTTTCTCTTTTCTTCTTTTCTTTCTCTCTTTCTCTCTCAGTGTGTCACTCTTTCTTTCTTTCTCTCTTTCTCTCAGTGTCTCATTCTCTCTTTCTATTTCTCTTTATCTTCTCTTTTTTTCTCTTCTCTTCTCTCTCTTTATGTGTGTGTGTTCACCCTCCTTCTCGTCCTTCTATCTCCATGTCATTCACTTTCTCTCTCTCTCTGTCTCTTTTTTTCACTTTCTCTCCACTAAATCTTTCTCCATCCCCTTCCTCACTCTCTCATTCTTTCTCCCCCTTTCTCCATCTCTCTACTCCGTCCCTCCTCCTGCTTTCATTTTCCCACTCTCACTCCCCCTTTCTCCATCTCTCTACCCCTCTCCCCTTTTATCACTTCTTCCTTCTCTTTTCCCTTCCCTTTCGCTCCTCCCCCTTTCCCTTTTATCTTTCCCTTCCTATTTTTCACTCTCTCTTATCCATCTCTTTTACTTCTCTCTTCCCTTTCCCCTTTCTCACAATCTCACTCTCCTTTTCCCCCTTTTGCCTTCTCTTTACGCATTCCCCCTTTTCACTCTATCTTTCCATTTCCCCCTTTCTCCTTCCCTACTCTCCCATTCCCTTCTTAACTCTCTTCCTCATTCTTTCTCCCTCTTTTAACATCTCTCTTCCTTCCCTTTTTCTCACCCTCTCTCTCTTTCTCTCTCCTCTCTTCTTTTTCCCATTCCCTCTTCTCTCTTCCCTCCTCGTTATCTTTTCTCACACTCTCGGCTACCCTCTTCCTCGTTCTCTCTCTCTCTCTTCCCCCTCCCCCTTGTTCATTTTCTCTCCTCTTTGACCCCTTTCTTCCTTCCATTGTATCTTTCCCCCTCCCTCACCCAGTCTCTCATTCTTTCTCCCCCTTCCTTACTTTCTCTCTCATTCCTTCTCTCTCTTCCTCTCTC